GTACCTACTATATATATATATATATATATATATATATATATATATACTGCAATGTACCGCACAGCACATATATATATATATATATACATAGTGTGCGGTTGATTGTACATATGATCGATCGACCATAGGAAATTGTCTTCGACCGAAGTGTGAAGAATCGCCTACCACACCCGGATTTCCTGCCCCGCTTCCCACGTACCTATTAGAAATCCGTTGACGGTATGGTCACCGTTTCCCGTTGTCGTTCTCGGTAGTAACCCGCGTCCGCCCATTAATCGTGTTGGGATTAGATGCGGGTGAGATGCGTGACACATTAAATTTTATGGTTAAAATCTTCATTTTCGATTAGTTTTCGTCGATTATGTTCTTTGCCGTATAAATTTCCCTCGCCTTCCGCTAATATAATAAAGTGGGCTTATGTTGTTGCTGTGACTAATGTACATCACTTAATCTTCCGCGGATCTACTACGCTCGTGATGTGCGATGTTGCGCGAATATTTACTTCGTTTATTTTCTACGTATACTTTCTACGTAATATTTTTCTACGTATATGTTCTACGTAATATTTAATTTTCTACGTATATTTTTCTACGTAATATTTTTTTACGCATTTTCAGAGCAACGGCTGGACGACCTCGAGTGTCCTCAGGAGGTCCGGCAGGGCGTCGTCGCGTGCGGCGGACACTGTGCGTTCGGCTATCGGCGCAATGAGACGCAGATAGGCTGGCCGAACTGTCAGAGCTAGCGCGGCCAGAAGACTAACTGCTACTAGACACCTACAGCTGTTCCTTCCTTCGTCCCCGACACCTGCCGACGCGCAAGAAACACCCGGATGCGACCAGCTATAGTTGCGCGGGTCGGTCAAGGTCGCCGGGGAAGCCCTGAACGTGGATTCATACGCGGCTTGGTGTAGCTCGCGAGTTCTGTTGACCTGGTCGTCGTTTGACCTCGACACTTAGTGACATTTGCTTCCCGTGTTTTATCTGCATTTGTCAACACGTGCCTACCAAGATCGCATTGGTTCATGAAGTCGTGTGACATCCCCTATCAACTCCCGTGAGCGGTATAATGTATCCTCTTGTGCCTACCGAAAATCTTATTTGTCTCTAGACGGACACCATAAGTTGTTGTTGGCATCGCCTTCGCGCACAGCAACTCTTTAGAGTCAGTCAATTTACTCACTCAAATCGGGGCGATTTTCCCCTAAAATGTCGAACGATTTTACGGTAAAGCAGTCTCTCTGTGTGTGTGCGCGCGTGCGTGCGTGCGCGCGTGAAAAGGTCTGCATTATTAGCTGTCGTCACGTGGCTTCCAGTCTGCGTGCGTGCGTGCGTGCGTGAAAGGGTTCGCATTATTAACTGTCGTGACGTGGCTTCCGGTCTGCGTGCGTGCGTGCGTGCGTGCGTGAAAGGGT